TATATATATATATATATATATATATATATATATATATATATATATATATATATATATATATATATTTTGGTAAGCTATATTCTTCTCTCATCTATTTCATCTTTCTTGGTAGTACGCATCTATCTCATCCTCTCACTAGTCTATGTATATACGGGGGAACACCAGCCAACCCGGATCTCTCCCCAGCCTGTGACGCCAAAAGTGGGGGTGGAGTCCCAGGTCAGAACTGAGATCTCCTGTGGCAAGGTTCTAGGGGCACGGGTGCAATAAGGCTGAGGGCAGGTTCCTTCCGGTCTGCTGGCGTTTATGTCGTGCAGCATAAGGCAGATGGCATGCGCGGTGCGTTCAAGGTTGTCCGCTTCGTTTGTTTTGGGGGCGGCGGTTCAGGGCTAGGTCTGCCCGGAATGGCTGTGATTCCGATGAGTCGGGCCTTTGAGGGCAGCCACGTGGCGTCTGTCGTCACGTGTTTGGGCTAGGCCCTCTGGTTTCCGGGGCTCGTTGATTGCCGCGACGCCGCCAATTTCCGCAAGGCATGCGGTACCAATACTCCGCGATGGAATTCCACGGTACCACCGTAAGTTGGTGGTAAGGGAGGAGAAGACGAAAAGGAGGGAAATTAGTAGCGATAACGACGAAGCCGGGGGATATGGAGTAGTGCGATTTGTCCGAAGTTGGAAAATCGGGACACCTCGGGTCGCTGGTCGTAACGCAGTGAAACTCCCTAGGGCACAATCGATTCTCGGTTAGACAGGGGAATTCCGGGCGTCTCTGTCTGAGACACTCGTTCACCCAAGGGGTAAAATACTCCGGATCCCACGACAAATCTTGGTCCCTTGAGTTCGTCATCTTGTCATTGTGAAGCCGTGGAATTCCTTAGTGAGTGGTTACCCGGCTGGGGAATTTCGGAGCTCAGCGTTCAGAAATTTCATGCCTGCCCTGTTATTCGACGATTGCGAGCACCGCGTGTGAGTCCGTGTAGACTGCGCGAATGGGATCGCACTTACACGTATTCACATGGGATGATCGCTTTGTTGCAAACGCAGAATGGCCACCGAGCACATCCAATCATTCAATATTCCCGCGATCGTTAGCCCTTTCATGCATTGGTGGTTACGAATCGACGCGCGTGGACACGTGTAGGTGCGCAGATCAGATCATGCTTGCACGCATCCCCACGAGGTATTCGCTGGTTTCTCGACTGACAGCTACCCAATCATCTAATCAATCCGGGATCCGTACGCAATCATTCCTGAATATGCAAGGTGCTACCACACATTCGCGGCAGCAACAGTAGATCAAAAAAAGACAAACAACAATAGCGAGGACTACGCAAACTTCTCTACTATGCTCTTGAGTGTATTAAAACGACAAGCAAAGGCAAAGATCAGATATAAGGAAAAACAAATAGGCATAACATCCATTCATCCATTCATTCAGCATAACCCACAATATCCGAGATTGAAATCGCAAAAGCGAGTGTGGGCCGAAACCAAGTCAAGATCCTGAAAAACAAAAGAAAACGGGCGGATCGCCCCGAGCCGAGATCAAATTTATATACAAAAGCAACGAGGGAGGAAAGACAAAAGAAACAGCAAATCCGCATCCATCAGCCTCAGCTCCCTCTTCCTCTCTCTCTCTCTCTGATGCGGACAGTCCGTCGTCTCGCACTAACCCACGAAGTCGTCACCCCGCTTAGTCCTCCCGCACCCGTCAGGTTCGCCCGCGCCCAAAGTCCGTCCGAGTCGTGGCCTGCGTCAACCCCGCGCGTTTGGCACCAGCTCATCGGGTCGCCCGACTTCCACTTCAACTCACCTCTTACTTCGCTCGTGAGCCGCCCCTCACTGATCGCACTACCCCGAGCTTCCACTAGATGGTCAAGAGAGCTATCTAATCGTCCAGCCGGAATTTATAGCATGCATGCATGCGCGAAGAACCCGGAATTGCATGAACTTAGCAAGGATATTAGGAGAGGGCACGTCTGCGTTCTGCATGGCCGGGCCGCGGCGTGGGGTTACGTAGCCTCTCTCAACGCATCGATCCGAGCATGCAGTCCGCGGGCTGGCTAGACACAACAAGAGAAAGCGAGAGCAGGAAAGACGAAGCATAAGAAGGATACAGTTACAATGGCGTCCGCCCAAAATTTCAGTTACACATACGATTAAAGGCGTCGGCTAATCAGAGTTCCGTTGCAGCCGCACAGAGAAGCGTGTAAGCAAAAAGTGTTGCGCGGCAAGGAAAAATCATAATTGCAAAATTCCTAAATTCCTGTCTAATGCAGAAAAAGCGAAAAACACAAATCCCAAAAAGAAAGTTCAAAATTTCGAAAGCCACAGTGGCGCGACAAGATTCGAAAAAGAATTCAAAAAGAAATTTAAAAAAGAACGAAGCGAAATTCCCGCGCGATGTCCGCGCCTAAAAGGTCTGAAACCAACAAAATAAGCGACGTCAACATTTATTAATCGTGCGCGCAGCGGCGCGCCACTCACACAGCCAATCAACCAATCGATTGTCCCGGGGCCCATCCGGGCCGCAACCCAATCATCCGAAAAGTCAACGAAAAAGGACGAAGAAGCGAGGATACCGATACAATTTCCCTTCCATCCCAATCTTTCGTAATTGGCCCAACCTTCCCAACTTAGGACCCCTCATTGTCAACGCGCAGAAAGTCGCGCGGGACAGAAATTGGTTCGTCACATATGTGACGCCCAGGGGGTTCAAGCTCCTGCTTGCTTGAATCTTGACACGTGTCGATCTCTCTAATCGATCGACACGTAGAGCTTTTCGTTGCCACTTACCGTATGAAGGAGTGTGAACGTTACCCAAGGTGGCATGTAAGCTCTGTCCTACAATTTCCCCAGGAGGGCTCTCGTCAATCCAAGGATGGCGAGAACTTGGCGGAGCTGATCAAGGTGGGACTCGAAGGTGGGGCTAAAAACAAGGATGTCGTCGAGGTAGATCACGACACAGACTTCGAGGAGGTTGTGAAAGATGTGGTTCATGGTGGATTGGAATGTGGCGGGGGCGTTGGTGAGACCGAAAGGCATTACGAGAAACTCGTAGTGCCCAAAGTGGGAGCGGAAGGCGGTTTTGTGGTTATCCTCCTCGCGGATGCGGATCTGGTGGAAGCGACTGCGGAGGTCGATCTTGGTGAAGTATTTGGCTCCATAGAGGCGATCAAGAAGTTCGGATATCCTGGGAAGCGGATACTTGTTCTTGATCGTGATCCGGTTCAAGGTGTGGTAGTCCGTGCACATGCGGAGTTCCGAGGTGTCGTTCTTCTTGACGAAGAAACAGCTGGTGCTGAAGGGGGAGGAGCTAGGCTTAATGAATCCTTTTTCAAGGAGTTCATTGAGTTGGCGCTTCATTTCTTTGGCCTCGGGGACAGAGAGCTGGTATGGGGGGCTGCAAGGGGGGGAGTGGCCGGGCTCGAGATCGATGGTGTGGGAAACACCTCGGTGGGGAGGTAGTCCGGCGGGCAAGGATTCGGGAAACACGTCTTTGAATTTGGATAGGAGGGCGGAGATCTGAGGGTCGGAGGGGGGGTCTTGGTCGGGTTTGTCCGTTGGAAGCAAGTCCTCGGGACGGTCGCGGTCAATGACAAGGCAATAGTAGGCGGAGTCGGGGTGCTCACAAGTCATGTGAAGAAATTGGTGAAGAGAGACGGGGGAAGGGGTGGAGGGAGGGAGAAGGTAGGGGATGTCAAGGGGTGGATCGGGAGGGGTGGAGAGGCGGACGAAAGAGGCGTGGAAGGTATAGGGCATGTAGCGGTCAAGCCAAGGAGTCCCGAGTACGATGTCGCACATGAGGTGCATGACATCGAAGGAGACCTGACTGCGAAGAGGGCCGACAGTCATTGTGGTCTTGGGGACTGTGCGGTCGACGACGATGGCTGAGTCCTTATCCCCTAGGCGGATGGTGAGCGGGGAATCATAGCCGGTGGAAGAGAGGCCGACTTTGCTGACACAGGCATCCGTGATGAAGTTGCCGGTGGCAGTGGCACCAATGTCGAGAAGGGCCCGGAACTTCACCGTCGATGCTCCAAAGGAGACGGTGACGAACTTGAGCTGGAACTGGGCGGTCTCGGCCCAAGCGGAGGAGATCATGGCGTTGAGGCGGCGCTGCTCGAGGCCTAATCTAACAAGCCGAGTGTGTCAGTCTTGTTCCTCAACGAGATCGGAGAAAGTGATTGTGGAGGGGTTGGGGAGGAGGGTAGTGGAACATGTGGCCGTGGGGTGCTCAACCGACAGAATAGAGGACGTCGTCGGGAGGAGGGCAGGCGGAGTAGACTGCGACGCCTGGGGGGTGTCCGGTGTGAGAGTCGTCGCCGGCAGACGAATTGTTGATGCCAGGACATGGCTACAAGGGGGGGGGGACAGTGTTCAAGTGGAGGAGGGCCCGGAGGCCGCGGTGGAGGAGGAGGAAGTGGATGTGGGAGTGCTGGATCCGATGGGGCGGGAAGGCTGGTGGGTGGAGCGGCCGACCTTGGGGCAATTGGTTTGCTGATGCCCCAGCTAGTGGCAACGAAAACAACCGCTGTTAGCCTGGAGGAAGGCGCGTTCGGCGGGGGTGAGCTTTTTGAGACGAGGGGGTTGGGGGGAGGAGGAAGGCTGGGAGGCCAGGCGTTGCCGTTCCATCCTCATGAGATGGACAGTCTGGAAGTCTTCCTTGGTGAATTGGGCTGGGTCAAGGGACTCGGGAGAGGAGTCAAAGCTATCGTCAGAGGGGAGTGACGAGTTGTCGGAGGCCATGTTGTGGAAAAACCGGGTGCGGTTGGGGGCGGCTGGTCGTTGAGAGCGGAGGTGAGGAAGGCGATCATGGTGGAGAAGGCAGGTAAGGAGATCGGTGAGAGGGAGCTCGGGCTCATGGGCGAGGGTTGCGGCGAGGTGGGGGAAGCATACCCGCTTGATGCGGGAGATGAAGACGTAGTCGGGAATGAGAGTCGATGGGATGTGGAGGCGGAGGGAGACCATAGCAGAGGCAAACCTTGCCTAACCACCCGTGGCGAGGTGTAGACATTCATGAAAACCGAACAAAGGCTCGATTTCCAGGAAAGACCCATGCCGCTGCTGCGCTTTCGTCAATGGGGATGCAATAGTAGCCGAACTTGCATTTTGTAAAAAAACAATGCAGGGATAAGACCACGATGACCGTCGTAACCAGAAAAGTTGAAACCCTTCTCAAGAAAACAATAAAAGAGGACGCTGACCTTAAGGAGGAGCAGGAACCCTTTCTAGCAAAGACATACCGCTGGGGATCCTGCGTATCCCGAAAGGCGTACTAGAATGCTATAGTGAGCCTGTCAGAGCAGGAAGCTGAGTACTACCCTCTAGTCCGATGGGAGAGCGGACCAATTACGGTTTTTTTTTCGAGAAACAAGCAAATGGCTAAAAGGGGAAAGGCTACGTCTTTGAATAAGGTACACCAAAGGGATTAGGACCTATGAAACCTAAAAACCCCGAGCGGTCTGTGTCCCGGAAAAATCATCTGGCTTATGCAGATCTAGGTAAAATGGCGACGGAGGGTGAGACAAGCGATCGTAGAAGCGAGGGAGGACCAAACATAGGAGGCAACGCTGTACAAAGCGAAGAGGGTCAGAAGGACAGAGAATCGACAAATCTAGATGAGGCCAAGGGGAACAGAAAAAATATCTCCTCAGGAGAGAGTTCGGGAAAAGTCGGGGGAAGCAAACAGGGGACCTGGGGAACCAGAGAAGGTAGAAATAAAGAAAGATCGAGCCCACAAAATTCGGATGGAGCTGTATCAAAAAAGGTGAGAATCACGGACGCGAGGCGCAAGTTAGCAGAGATAGAAAAGAGAACCGCAGAGTACAAGGCAAGATTGATCAAGGAAATGATGGTCAGAAACGAGGAGGACCCTCCAAGGGAAGGTCTACGTGTCGAACGGAGGGTCAGCCAAGACGGAGTCGGATAGGGGGGTAAGGATAGTGATCGCGTAGGAACATCTAGCAAGAGAAGGAAGGAGAGAGAAAACTCCCCTGGAATAGAAGCGGAGAAAGCTACCAATCCGCCGACCATAGACAACAGGGTTAGCTGTCTGCCGGTCGCGCCGATAGTTATGCGGGGGTGCGAGGGACTTTGGAGCCTTAGGGAAAAGGTGTTGGGGTGGTTCGATCTGGACGGGACTGCGAAAACCGGAGAGGGACGAAGGACTGACAAGGAGGGGCAGGGAACTAGTACAGTCGGTGATGCCAGCAGCTGGGAGGGTGGCCTCGAGAAGATGGTGTCGTCCCTCACACGAGCACTAAACAAGAACCAAGGGTACCTCGCGAACGCTAAAAAGAAGTTGACATTTGACGGGGCAAACATCACGGAGTTCCTAATAGACTACGAGAACCTGGCTGCATTAGTAAAATGGAATGAAGAGGAAAGGATGGATCACCTGGGACAACATGTGTTGCTGAGCCTAGGGCGATACATAATGGCTATTGTTGCCGTGAGGAGGTCTCGGAAGGTAACCCGGGATGTGATGATGAGAAAGTATCTGGTGGCAAAAAAAATGGCAACAAAAGCCGAATTAGCGGCAATACAACAGAAGAACTTCGCCACATACGATGACTTCCTGAGAGAGTTTACCCTGGTGGCGCTAAGGATCACCGGGGTAACGAACCGAATAATAAGCAAGTATTTCCTCAGGCAGTTTTCTGAGTTTGATAAGGACAAGATTTTATCATCATACCAACAGACGAGCAAATTCGTGAACACAAGGGATGTCGATTTCAGTACGATGACAGAACTTGCCGAGAAAACGGTAGTAACCGAGTCATTGACCCTGCTTAATGAAGGAGAAGTCATAGACCTGACCGGTAGGACAACGGATAAGGTGAGAAGGGAAATTGAGAGCCTATATTAACGTGTCCACGGAGTTGACAATAAGATAGAGAGGGTGGAAAACGCACTAATGGTAATGCAGGCGCAAGTATCCCGACCCTCCCTCCCTCCCCAAGAAGCCGTCGTCCTAGCAGGAGTTGCCAACCGAGGGTTTAATGGGAGAGACCCCGCCAATGAGCATTGCAGATACCGCACAACGGTTGGACACTTTGTGCGAGCTTGCACAAAACTCAACCACAATATCATGAGAAAGAGGTGCACCGGGTCACGAAAAGGGGAAATATTTGGTCATCGGGGGGAGCAAGTTAATTGGAACTCGCCTGGAGGAATGAGGCATGACGTGATCGTCCTCAACGACCTAGACATAACAGCAGTAGAGGCCGAACCAGTAACCGAAATCGTCTGGGATCAACCCCGAGGACGCGGACCACAAACTAACTTTATCCTAGAAAATGACGGACACGATAGGGTGAACGCGACTACTCGACGGGGAATGGCAGGAATAAGAGTTATCTGTGATACAATGATGGAGGAAGTTGCTGGAGGCACCACGGTCCAAGCAGCGCCTAAAACTGGGGAACCAGAGAAAGTTTACGATAGGCCGAGAGACGATTAACGGGGGTCCAAATATTCGTCGTTTTCGTTGGCAATTGCGGTGCAATAAGCCTGGGGAAGAGGAACCTACGGACAAGGTCACCGCGGCAAAGAAAAGTTCAGGTATCAAATCCTGATCCTGACCATGCCAGAGATCGACGACACCCTTAGCAAGTTGCTCCGAACCATGATATCGATGTCTTTTCAGACCATGCTACAAGCAAGTCCTAGATTGTTCAAAGGGCTTAGACAAATATTGACTCGTTGATGAGTAGAGATAGACGAAACTCCGGAGGCGGAGGAAGAGGAAAAGGAGGAGGAAACTCTGCAAGAAGTCGCTAACCTTCAAGGGATTCCTGGAGATTTGGAGGATCTAGAAAAGGCCTTCGCAAACATCCGCTTGAGCTTACCGGATCGTGAAGGTGAGAAAGTCATGAGAGCACCGCCTAGAACAAAGCTTAGTTTTCATGCATTGCCCGTAGGAAAGCTAAAGGTACAGATCGGGACTCATCACACAGACGCCCTAGTAGATGGAGGTGCGAAAATCACCCTCATAAGGAGAGATTTCGCAACAATTACCGGCTGTGTGGTTAACAAGGAGGTAATGGGGAACATCCGGGGAGCCGGTGGCGAGATCCCGTTCTCGGGATATGTCACCAAATGTGCAGTAAAAGTAGGCATCCAGTAGTCAAACTGGTCATTTCAGCGCATGACCGTACTGGATGAAATGGACCAGGACATAATCCTCGGAAGACCATGGTGTGCGAATGTAGAAATGATAGCGATGCATCTGCATGATGGCACATACATGGTAGACTTAGAGGATCCGGTAACTGGCCGTGGGAAACTCCTCCGACTCATTGGGACCTGATGAGACCCTCCAAAATGGAAATTGGCAACATAGTCGCCATCATTCGAAGATAGCGCTAGAAAGGGGGCTTTTGCTCGAATGGAGGGAATAAGAGAAAGAGTGGAAATCATGATTGAGGAGACATTCAAGAAGAAGGAATTAATTAAGATGGGTCTGCCTCATAAGAAGAGGAGGCAGGAAGATGAGGTTTTAGGTGTCATGGTGGCAGAAAAG